TATAAAAAAAAAATTTACTGATCCATACATTTTCCAAAAAGTTATAGCATTATTCNTTAAATAATATTAGCCACTGGTAATCAATTCTTATTATACCATATAGACCTAATAAAAAACCCAGCACAGTGGTGACGTAGCATAGTTGGATCAAGTATAATGATATCTGACAATGACTAAAATCACTATAAAAAAAAAAAACGCTTCGATGCAAATCTTTAGATAGTGTTTAATTTTAAAAAATTGGTGGATTATTCCAAAAGCTTCATGATCTGCTAGTTCCTTATTAATATCCTGATTAAAATAAAGTATGACGAATGAAAGAGGGATTATTAAAAAATATTATTTCTCATAAAAAAAATTGTGTTGATCCATACACTTTTCAATAAGTTATAGCATTATAAAGTTAAAAATTTTAAAAATAAAATCGAGAATTTTCACAAAAAAATTGCATTTGGTAGCCATTTTCAAAAGTTAAGTTGAAAAGGTTATGTTTTTGTGTAAAAGTTGTCATTTTAAATCCCCCCTATGGACAGGTAAAGGATCATATTTAAAAAAAAAAATATACCAAATGATAGGTAAAGACAACAAGCATCTATATAAAAAAAAAATTTACTGATCCATACATTTTCCAAAAAGTTATAGCATTATTCAGTTAAAAATATAAAAAAGAATTATTTTACAAAAATCGTAATTTTTTATTAACTTTGATGTCTATTTTCACCACGAAGGCAAGTCCCGGGGCCAAATTTTTTTTTTTTCATAATAAAGTACATTACATTAGCTTTAATTTAAGATATATATATAAAAGTATCAGACCTTCCGGAACACTTTCAAAAGTTAAGTTGAAAAAGTTGTCATTTTAAATCGCCCACAGGTAAATGGTCAGATTTTAAAAAAAAATATACCAAATGAAAGGTANCTGATTAAAATAAAGTATGACGAATGAAAGAGGGATTATTAAAAAATATTATTTCTCATAAAAAAAATTGTGTTGATCCATACACTTTTCAATAAGTTATAGCATTATAAAGTTAAAAATTTTAAAAATAAAATCGAGAATTTTCACAAAAAAATTGCATTTGGTAGCCATTTTCAAAAGTTAAGTTGAAAAGGTTATGTTTTTGTGTAAAAGTTGTCATTTTAAATCCCCCCTATGGACAGGTAAAGGATCATATTTAAAAAAAAAAATATACCAAATGATAGGTAAAGACAACAAGCATCTATATAAAAAAAAAATTTACTGATCCATACATTTTCCAAAAAATTATAGCATTATTCAGTTAAAAATATAAAAAAGAATTATTTTACAAAAATCCTAATTTTTTATTAACTTTGATGTCTATTTTCACCACAAAGGCAAGTCCCGGGGTCAAATTTTTTTTTTTTTCATAATAAAGTACATTACATTAGCTTTAATTTAAGATATAAAAGTGTCAGACCTTCCGGAACACTTTCAAAAGTTAAGTTGAAAAAGTTGTCATTTTAAATCGCTCACAGGTAAATGGTCAGATTTTAAAAAAAAATATACCAAATGAAAGTTAATGATATCATGCATTTATATAAAAAAAATTATATTAATTCGTACATTTTTGAAAAAGTAATGGCAGTTTTAAGAAAAAAAAATTGCGAAAATTAGCGATTTTTAAATTTGTAATTTTTTTGGAGGTTTCCCCCATTTACGGGGAACGAGGGAAATTTTTTCAATTTTTGAGGGTAATGTCTTTGACTAGATACGATTTGTGATCTTTTGACGTATCGTTGAATGAAATCGGATTGGTGAGAGCTGAGAAAAAGTGGTAACAGACACACAAAAAAAAAATATAGTAAAACCAATACCTTCTCAGCTTCGCATCGAAGCTAAAAATTCACTTCAATATTAGAACTTACTAAATAAAAAAAAAAAATTATGATTCTTTGAAAATCAGCGTATCACAATATGTTAAAACTTACGTGGATTGTTTAGAATATTTAGCATATCATTTTTGCCATGTGGGTCTTTACCGCCTCATATCTTTAGAACCGATTGACCGGAAATATTTTTTTGATTTTTTATTAAAGTTTAGGCATGATAAGTGGCATAAATATTTTGAACGAATAAACAAGATCCAAGGTCAAACGTCTTTTGTTGATTATAAATTGAATAACTATTATAATATCACAACAGTTAAAAACGCTAAGAAACTGTTAAATTAAATTTTCAGAATGTATTTAGAAATTAAATCAATACTTCAATAATTATATTAATGATAAATTTATAGATTTTAAGAAAAACATCCATAAGTTTACTTGTAGAATCAATAAATATCTACTAAATTAATACAATAAGATGGCCGAATGACTACTGTAATATAATTGTACAAATAAACTTACAACAATATTCTTCGACTTCGCAGCATATGTCTTTACTATATTTAAAATGACATCCTGGCTAAAGTTTTTTTAAAAGATGTACATATATGTCTGTCATAATTTATATAAGTGTCTTTCCTAATAAAGTTCAAAATTATCAAAATAAACTTATAAACTAAACTAAATATACTTTTATTTATATCTATATGAGTATTAACTGTGTTTAAGAAAAAACAGAGCAAGATTTTACAATAGATGTACTTTGCAATTTCTATTCATATAAATTAACCCGATGCGAATTTGATTATTTTATATAAAACAAACACATTTAAAAGTTGGTGAAAATATCGATCATGTTTTTACAAAACATCAACATTTATTCACACGATTATTATTTTTTAATAAAACAAAATATTCTTGTGAAACAGTCATTCTGTCAATTCTTCTTTAAATTTCTTTCTACTGTCAATTAATTCTATTCCTTTTGAAGACATTATTATGTCATTTCCATAAACTTCTAAATGCTTGGCAAAGTCAATGGTCTGCATTACCTTCGGAATTGCCAAATGACACAGAAAAATTTGTTTCTTTATACCCATTCGCGTCATTGTTTCCACGATTTAAACCATACCAGAAATTTATAATTAAATTTGACTTAGATTTGGTCATAATTTATGATGAGTCCATGCTTATTTTTATCTCTTAACTCTCATTCCTTTTGTACTTTCACGGTGAGAAAAATTCAGATAACTTTTCCCATTATCTTTTAAACTTTCCTTTACTCTCTAAAAGTAATACTATGTATGTGAGTATGTTAGTCAATTATTTTGCTCTTCACAATATTAATACTTTATTTAAAAATATATATTTTTTTTTGTCTCGATCTATCGTAGGTTTTACTCTATTATTTCCTATCTTCAGAGCGGAACTATTATTATTTAAATATATCTTATATTCAGCTATTGTAATAATTGAGGTATAATAATCCTAAAAATAAAATGTCAATACACTAATCGACATTATTACAGTAATAATATTTTCAGACCAAGGATAAGTATCCTTGATTAAAAATACTTATTCAACACTAGGACATTTTCTACTTTTATTATTTTTATGGATAAGAAATCAATAAGTATAATTTAATTTATTTAAATAGAAAAAAATACTAAGGAGAACCATGTCGCTCTTGCGTATTGTTTAACGAAATAATAAAATACGAGTATCGATCTTATGTTTCCGCATATGGTTCACATTTGTTAGACTTTAAACACGAAATCAGTTTTGCATCCTCGTCAGATAAATGTTCGTTAATTTTGCAATGGGAACTGTTCTTNCGTCAGATAAATGTTCGTTAATTTTGCAATGGGAACCATTATATAAATATTCGCCTTTTTTCACAGAGAAAATGTGATCTAAAAAAAAAAAAAAAAAAAGTTAATGTTCTAAATATCAATCGAATGATTATGTATGTTAATTGCCACAGTTTTAAGGTACTAGTTTTGAACTATTTCCTATAATTGGAATGCATTTTAATTAATCGTAAACCTTTCTCAGGTATTCCTCACATTAAATTTAAAAAATAATGTAGTTAAGTTATCGTGCTTTGAACAATGAAATACGTACGGATAGTAGAAATATTTTTATCGAAAAAAAATTTACTCAAATAAAATATATAATTATAATAATAATAAATAACACCCAAGTGAAACCTAACATAATTGACTTTCGATATTTTCGATTACGATTTAAAATCTTATTTAAAGTCTTAATAAATATCAATTAAATTATAGCTACTTTTTATGGAATCCATTGAAATAAGTAATAATAAACATACTTTATAAAAAAATTTTCAAACGAATCAATCTATTATCATGTGTGATGTGATGTACTAGTATTATGAAAATCAAGTAAATGTATGTTTCTATCAAATAATTTCCAACTTTTTTTTTATATTTATTGATAAATATAAACACTTTTTATCGATAACATTTTTGGTCAAACGTATCACAAAGAGTGTGTATCCAAAACTAAATACTTCATAGACCACAAAGATATATTTATTTATGTGCATTTTCTAATTTTAAATTTGTTATTTTGCCATTTAAAAAATAAGTAAATTATTTTAACATTTAAATATGTGTATAATTAAGTCCTAGGATATAAAAAATGAGTTTGTAAATTTTTGTTCTGATAATAAAATTGTCTTGAGGTTACAGTTTAAACATAAATATTGTAATTCATATTAATAACCGATACTATAGAAATAAAAATATACAAAATAAATTAATAACTATATGAAAAAAGTCGAATTTTATAGATAGCTTTAAAAAAAATATTCTACTTTGCTCGTACTATAAATAAACAGAAACTAGAATAAACAAGTCGTGAATTATTATTATTATTTTTTTAAATGTTGTTAAGAAATTTAAGGCGCTCAGTTTTCTAATTTTGGATTAGGATTAGTTACCTCAAGCCCTCTACAATTCTCATAACTAACTTTACTACTCGATGTTTGCCTTTTATTTATATTAAAATAACTAAAAATGAATTTTTAATTTTTATTACGAAATAGATCATAAAAACAATATCTGTTTATTTTAGATGAGCACATAAAGATATAAATTGGCAATCCTACCAAAGACGTATAGTAATTAAACTGAGTATTTCAAACTCGATTTACAAAGCATTTCTTGGGAATTTTTTTCGTCGTCGTTAATAAAGTATAGTTTATGACAGTACGCGAGTTTTTTCTTAATGAACTTTTTTAACTTTTTATAAGCAATGGCAATTCGTCAAATAAAATGCATTTGTTACAAAATCAAATACAATTCTGGTTAGTTAGTTATGAATGATATTGAAGAAAGTCATTGAAGGTGCCAGACAGGGAACTAAAAAGAACAGGAAAGATAAGGAGGGAATATGAAAGAAGAGTGTTTTTATTTCGGCTGAGAGATGTTTTCGGCCAATGGACTACGCAGAACTGCAGCAATACGTGTGTAACCAAAAAAATGTTCAATGCACAATTTTCGTAAGGTGACGTCAACGCGCTCAGAACTGCTGGCGGCACGTGACACCCCGACGGCCGTACGTGGTTTTTGTATTTTTCATCGACCAAAAATAGACGCCGTCGGCCGGTGCCAACGCGACGACTACTGTTACCGTAGCGCGCTACGTTTGCACAGTACGTACGCGGACCCGGTAACGGCAGCAGCGTCCACGCAATGGCGTCGGCCACGGCTTTGTCGCAGCCGCCGCCGTCGCACGCGCGCGGCAGGCGAACGAGAAAACTGTTCGCGGCGTCCGCACTTTTTTCCCGGTGGTTTCGTCGTCGGGGCACGGCCGGGAGACAGGCCGCCGAAGATTCCGCTTGGTTCCGCGACAACTTGCAACTGATCCGGCAGGCGTACGCGGCCGAACAGAACAAACCGGGCTACGAGACGGTGGCGTACGATCGTCATAGACCTCCGTCTATGACAGGCCGCTCTTGGTGCAGACGTAGTGCTCGATGGTCGGGCAGTACCACGACCGTTTACAGTTTCGATTATTTCGATGCGGCCAACGCCCGTAATAATAACATTAACGGCGATGGCGAACCGGTAGAATATATCGATGCATTAGCGGCCACCACCTTACCGGCCGGGCTACACCGTCGTCGAAAGCCCCCGGCAAAACTGCCTCCGTCAGCCAACGATACGGCCAAACGAACTGCGACAAAGCCAACCGTTGAAATGCCGCCACAAACCGCCGTCACCGACACCAATCTAATCTCCGCTGTTCCTAGCACAACCGCCACCATCCCGGGCACGACGACGGGTACGCGAACCAGAAGAAAAAAGTATAGAGCCCCACCGCCGCCTACGACGCCAGTGGTTCCCGAGTCGGCGACGACGTCGCTCAAAAAACGTGCGCACCGCAAAGGGCCCGCGCCAAAGCCACCCGATACGGCGGTGGCGACTGCAAGTCGACAAGTGCCGAAAGCCGAAGTTCAGCGTACGCCCAAGACGATCGTTGGAGTTACCCCGCAAACGTCGCACACGAGTACTGCCGTGCGCGGAATGGCGGCAGACGAAAAAGACAGGCTCAGGCGACGGGTAGACAAAATAGAGAAACGTTTGACTGAAAAAACGCCGACCGGATACGGCCGACCCGCGTCGGCCGTGTACACCGAAATGGCAGTGACCAACATAACCGAACTGGACAGGCGTGCGGCCGAGATATGCAAGTCGCTGAGCGAGTCCACTGAAGCCGCTCGCCGACTGTCTGCGTCCTTATCGGTTGTCGTTAAAAAACCCGACGAGAGGAACCGTCCCGTTAGCGCTTTTGTGTTGCCGTCGTCCCGAGAAGTCGGGACGACTTCCGAAATCCGCCGGAATCGTGTGGAATTTTTCGAAAGGCTGAAACCACTCGGAAATAACGACGAAATTGTTTCCTCTCCGGCAGTAGTCGAAACAACTACAAACGTACCTAAAAAAGTCACTAAAACCTCATTGGGTACGCAGACTACTGGCCGTCGTCCAGTGAACAGGTCCAAGGCGGCGAGTACAACCAAACAGAACGGTAAACATGTTAGTTTGTGTGTCTAAAGCAAAACTGAAACATTGAAGATTTAGAGGACTTTGGTCGGTTATGGTTTTTCAAACAGAAAAATGTTTTTATTTCAATTGGTTTTAAGTAAAGTTTTTTTTACAGAGATTTCTTTTAGTTTCAATTTTTTTTTTTCTAAAACCATTTTGTACAATAAGGTTTATTTGCTAATATTTTAATTCAAATATAGAAATAATATTCAAATATAATAAACCATACAGTTTTAAAAATATAACGCATTCGAACGTGTTTTGTTTTGTTCATCTTAAAAAAGATGAACGTGTAAAATAATGTCTAGAATTTGGTTGTAATGATTTATTTGTAAAAAATCGTAAAATATCATTTGGGTTTCATTGCATTCGAAACACTTAGAACGGTTTCGTTAAAATTATGATTTCTCTTTCTTTTTTTTTAACAAAAGATAATAATAATTATTTGAAATATGTACACCGTTAAATAATGTTTTTAAATGTTTTTTTTTTTTAATATTTACCCTATTCTTGGAAAATAAAACGTACTGAGTTGGTATCTAACTGACTTTGAAAATGTTAGACAAATAAAATGTAAATTTCAATCTACAACATACGCACTTGTATAATGTTCCAGTGTTTCAGTAGAATTATTTTTAGATATTATTATAATTTATTTTATAATTCAGAACTGGCTGCGGAGGAAAAAAAAAGTTGTTATCAAGAACTTATTGCAATAGAAAACCAAAACGACCTCGTCACCTGTGATAGTCAATTCGAATGCGCTGTATGTCTTTGCGTTTACAAAAGCGACGGTATTATGCTACGCGATTGTTTACATGTATTTTGTAGGTAAGTAAATTTAAATTGGAACTTATTCGTCAGAACAACTTTATTTACATTTAAATATACAGAGTGATACGCCTGCCATTCGTTTTCTCTTAAAACTGCAATTATGTTAAGACAATTATTTTTAGTTCCATATATTTCTCGATTTATCAGTTATTGATTAGTTTTATACATAGTCACATAACATGATAGTATTTAATGTTAAGCCCTTAAAAAATATATTGTATTTTTAACTAGTATATTAAATAGGATAACCACTGGTCGATAACAACTTTTGGAACACTATTTTGAAAATTATTGACATTTTTATATCAAGTCTGAAGGAGGATTGCAGTCAAGAATGATCTGATGAAAACGATTGTCATATCCGCACCTCACATCCTATCCATATATTAAAATGGCAATGACTTCTGAAATAATGGATCAAAAGTTGCTATTGGCCAGTTCTTAATTTTCTTAATTTGACTTTTTATTTTATATGTTAGTGAATTATGATGTTTTCTTTAAAAATAATAATGTTGGCATCCTTATAAGGTATAAGGGATGAAAGGAAAAGTCATAACTAATAAATCAATAAATACGCAAAACTCGAAAAATACCCAAAATAATCTTCTTAACGTAATTATATTTTAAGAGAAATCGAGTGCAGCTAAAATAGTCACTGTGTATACGCAGTGTTGACGTAAAATGTAAACAAACCGTTATGCGAGTGTTTTTTATACAAAGTGATTTATTAAGGGGTCTTTTATTATCTCACTTATTTTCATGAACCATAGTAAACATAAGATAAAAATTTGTCTAAATTAAATTTTAATCTATACGTTCTCATGAAAAAATTATTATTTAACGAAAATATGGAGAAAGGTTAGATTTATCAAGCATACTACACGCTTAATAAAACACCGTATACATTATGGAAATCATTATTATGAAACTTTCGCCCGTAAATTATTATTTATGGTCACAATAAAGTTAATTTTTTTTTTATTAGATTTTTAATGTATTTCACATAATTTGGTTTTTGTTTATCAATTTTTTCACAAAAACATTAACGAAGATACTTTATGGGTTGTTCTTAGACCTTGTTTACAGATGACCATTAAACATTCAGATGATGAACAAGTGAAATGTCCTTATATAGATCCCCAATATTCATGTACTGGAGTGCTGCAACATCGAGAAATTAAAAGAGTAAGTACAATATAAAGCTACCGGTCATTAAAAAATTGTATTGTGACAATTTTTTAGTATACAATCTATTGTATACGTCGAGTTTGTGTCGTCATTTTCAACTTTCTGATGTTAGTAATTTAGCATTAGTCAAATGCTAAAAAACAATACACTGATATAATTAACTTTTCAAACGCGTTTAAAATCAGAGAAATCAATTTTCCTGATAAGATAATAGACAAGTAAAGGAAGTTGTGTCATTATGTCATAATGAGTAAGGCTGTCCTCATCAAGGTTAACATTATCGTGAGAATATTACGAAGTTACAACGAAAAAAAATGAGCGTTGAAAACATTTGGTTTTCATTCTCTATACGATTCCCAAAACCTTCACCTCATCTCATCTTCACTAAACAAAGTCAATGTGTACGTTCTAAACTAATCATTTTAATTGCTTTTTGAGATCTCTCGTTCAATAATATCTGCACTTTACCCAACGATTTTCAAATAGCTTAATTATACTATTTTATTAAAGGCTGCTTTTAATTGGAGAATTTGAAAGCAATTCATTTGTATTGAATTACAGACTCCAATCAATCGAAAGTTGAGAGGCAGCTCTGCGTCCGACTTTGAATCCGCGATTCAATAATAAATCATTACCAGTAGTTGTTGTAGGAAAAAATTTTAATTTAAGTCTAAAATTAAAAACCCATTGAAAGATTTACTAGATTTTTGTTTCGTATAGATACTAGGAACGGACGATGAATACGAAAAGTACCTACAAAAGTCTGTCGAAAAAGCCAGACAGCTGTTGGCCAAAGGCGGGTCGTTCCAATGCAGGCGGCCGGATTGTTCAGGGTGGTGTTTAATCGATGACAAAAGATTAGTATTGGAGTTCAAATGCCCCGTTTGTGGATCCATTACTTGTGTTCGGTGCGAGGTAAGTGTCTACTATCAGTTTTTTTCTTTTACTCGGTTTACTTATTAAGATCACAAATTTCAAAGGCCAAGGTTTAAATCGCAGTTAAAGAGACCAGAGTACCGTGATAATTGTGAAATAATAACTCTTTTCTTTCATTTAAATATAAAAGTAATTTATTGTTCTTATATTAGATACTTTCGTTTCATAGCTCTCTGTATCTGTGATCATAATTATAGCTAGAGATCAATTAAATTTTTTCCGAAATTCTAAAATCTTTTTACGTGCGGTGGTGTCGAAAATGGGCGAAGTGCCATGAGAGCAGTTGCCGAGTCAAAATGCGGAAGAGCAAAAGTCTCATGTTGCACCCTATCCCCAATTAAATCTGACGACAAAAATTATGGCTGTAAATAAAATTATAACTGATCAAAATCTAGGTTTTTTTTTTAATAATTTGATTTTAAAGAAATCATTTATTTTCAGTTTATTGTTAATTTATTTTAAAGTTCCCCAGAGAACATCCAGAACGTGATCCAGAAATCACGTTCCCTTCTTCATACCTATTTGTTCTTCTAATTATATTTATAATTAGCCAATTAAACGTTTAATAAAAAATGCCAATGAAGACCCTTCTTCAATTTCAATTAAACATTTATTTTATATACTTTTGTTTAAATTATTGTTTTTTTTTAATGTTTATTATTTTTATATTACTGTTTTTCTTTTTTTTTTGCTTGTTTGTTTTGTTTTATTTTCTGTAACTATATTTTTATATAATAGGGGTCAAACCCGTTGACTAAATAAATAAATAAATTGATTACAAATATTGTAATTATCCAATAGTATTGTGATTATATTATCAATTGTACCCTAGCAGATTTTATTTAAATCTTATATCAATAAATTATTTTAATTTTAATTTTTAATTTAGTAAAATGTATTCTGCTTAAACAATTGATTTCGAGTGTCCCATAAATTTAAATAGATAGTTTTACAAGGTTAATAATAAGATAACTTTTTCATGTATTGTAATGAATAACATAATTATAGTTAATTATTAATTTAATAATATATAATAATATCAATAATTATAAATAATATATTGAAAAATAAATAATATGCATATCAAGGATAAATTTTATAAATTATCGAATGTTTTTTTTTATATAATCGATAGCCAAACAAAAATAAAGCAGCTTTACCCGTTTTTTAGTTTCCTAACAATTATGAGAACCAATTTTTGCCTCCTCTTATGTAAAAATTAGTTACGGTGCCCCGCCAATGTTTAACAGAAATTAAACTAATTGCTTATACAATATATTTTAAGTTTAAAAAAATTGTCCTGACGATTTGTCTTCAATGAGTCAATGAGCCACTAAAAAACTTTAAAATGTTGCATTGTTGACGTTGTTTGTACTGATATTGCGATACGTCAAATCATAAAAGACAAGTCGTTTGGATAAATAATCATTCAATATTCTCTAGTGAATGAAATTAATTGTATATCGTTTTAAAGGAAGCAGGTTTCTCAGAATGTGTTCAAGAAAACATTTTCTCGAAAAAAGCAAGTTGCAACTCTACACCTTACCCTAAAAAATGGCAAAATTTCAAAAAAAGTATAATTAAAGTAACTAACTCACGCTATAGATAATCTCAGAAAAATTTAATCCCCATCAAACGATTATTGAAATAATGGATAAAAAAAAATATATATATATATATGATTTTTTATGTTTTATTGTTGACCCAGTTCGATCTGCACAAAAAACAAATTTTCGATATAACTAATATCTATTTATTATACAGGGAGACATAAATTTGGTAAGACACATTTCTCAGAACCTATTTAAAATTTTTTTAAACTTAATTTGTAAGCTTTGCTATAGAATATTAAACCATTAATAAGTTAAAAAAACTACCTATTTTCGATATTTAAAATCGGAGTTCAAGATTTTAATTTCTAAATCTGATTATTTCTCTAGTTGAAAACTACGAAAACTAGACCTCAACTAGATCTCTCTAGTTGAGTAAAAATAAAATTAAAAAATTAATTTTACTAAGCTATAACAATATTTGTTCATTTACAGAAGATTCACAAACCCGGACAATTATGTGAAAAGCTGCAACGAAAAACAACCAATTTGAATTTCGTTAGTGGCGAAAGTTCTTCTGATATAAAGGCCGTAGTCAAGGTAATTATTAAAGATAAATTTCAAATACAACAAATATTTTGTTTTTTATATTCTAGGATCTAGTTGAATGCGGCGAAGCCATGGAGTGTCCTGGTTGTAACACCATTATAAGTAAACAAAAAGGTTGCGATTGGCTCTTGTGCACTGTCTGCTCGACTGAAATATGTTGGGCTACCAAAGGACCAAGATGGGGTCCTAAAGTAAAATTGAAATTGAGTAAAACTATTACAATGAATTATTGAGATAATTATTTTACTTTTAGGGGAAAGGTGATACATCAGCTGGATGTCAATGTGGCATACCACCCGGTCGAAGATGTCACGTTAGTTGCAATTATTGTCATTAATTTAAACTTTATAATTGAAGAATATAAAATCGTGCATTTTTAATACTTTTAATAATTTTTATCATATATTTTTCGTAAATTATTTAATTATGTATATGTTGTCGAGTGTATAAAAAATTAAGAATAATTTATCGTTCAAACAAAATGTTTGCTCAAAAGTTTTTATTTAATTATATAGGTAATTATAATAAAATAATAAAATTTCCTTATAGCTTCGATGCGAAGCTGAGAAGGTATTAGTTTTACTATATGTTTTTTTTTTTATTTATTTTTATATTTTGTATCTGTTACCAATTTTTCTAAGCTCTCATTGGACCGATTTCTTTCAACGATACGTCAAAAGATCACAAATCGTATCTAGTCGAAGACATTACCCTCAAAAATTGAAAAAATTTCCCTCGTTCCCCGTAAATGGGGGAAACCTCCAAAAAAATTACAAATTTAAAAATCGCTAATTTTTTCAATTTTTTTTTCTTAAAACTGCCATTACTTTTTCAAAAATGAACGAATTAATATATTTTTTTTTATATAGATGCATGATATCATTACCTTTCATTTGGTATATATTTTTTTTAAATCTGACCCTTTACCTGCCCACAGGGGGATTTAAAATGACAACTTTATCAACTTAACTTTTGAAAGTGTTCCGGAAGGTCTGACACTTTTATATATATATATCTTAAATTAAAGCTAATGTAATTTACTTTATTATGAAAAAAAAAATCGGACTTTATTTTGTCTTTATGGTGAAAATGGCTACCAAATGCTATTTTTGTGTGAAAATTCTCGATTTTATTTTTTTAATTTTTAACTTTATAATGCTATAACTTATTGAAAAGTGTATGAATCAACAAAATTATTTTATGAGATATAATATTTTTTAATAATCCCTTTTTCATTCGACATACTTTATCTTAATCGGGATATTAATAAGGGAATAGCAGATCATGTAGCTTTTGGAATAATCCACCAATTTTTTTTTAATTAAATTAAAATTAAACACTATCTAAAAATTTGCATCGAAGCTTTTTTTTTATAGTGATTATAATCACTGTCAGATATCATTATACTAGATACAACTATGCCACGTCACCACTGTGCCGCGACTCCCTTGTGTTGGGTTTATTTAATATTAATATATTCATAAATGTATAAATAAGAAATATTGATAGAGACATATTACTATTTTTATATTACATCTCAGATAAAAATATTTTATAATTCAATGGTTTAGGTAATGAAAAAGTATTAACTTTGTTATGGATCCACATAAAGTTTTTAAATAGTTCGCCTATTTGACAAAAGGTGTTGTCTTAGAGCAAATGATTTTTTTAATATTAGTAACATTTTATATGTAGCACAATATATAGGGCACTAATCCAAATTACTCATAAGTTATTAAACGTAAAGATTTTGTTTTAATTTTGAAAGATGATTGAATAAACGTAAAACTTATTAATGAACAAAACTATTTTTCAAATTCAAATCAGAACTATTCTATATTAAGGTTATAAAAACTTAATTTCATTTTTGTACTTCCAATTTAAAATCAAATGTTCTTCTATTTTTCTCGTAGTTACAACGAAACTTAACTTGTTACTGCGAGACATTGTAGAAAATAAAAGCTTAGTATTTCGAATATGTCAACTGCAATTAAAAAATACAACGTAGGTGTTTTTACTTCGTAGACAGTAAATAACTGCTGTTAAACAACAATAGTTACATACATCAATAATATAAATGTAAGGAAGTCCAATTGTAAACAATAAAAATACAAATTTAGAATTGACTAAACCTACTCAATTTACTATTGTTTGTTATGTTTTGGATATCTATCATAATTTCCATATGTATTAAATAATACTTAAATGATACATTTTTAAAATTTAATAAAATTAATTTAATAAAAAAAATGAATTGCTAAAACTTATGAGAATCAATAAATTAAGTATGGTCAATTTTAACTTTTTATTCAAGTTTCAGCGTTGACGGATTAAAACTAAAACATAACTTTTTTTTCAATTAATTCGTCTAAAAAAAAATAATAAATATTTAATATTAATCACGATGAATTATTCAAATGAACAAAAAATTAGACTTTTTATAAAAATAATTTTTCACAATATTTATTTTAATAATTAAAACTTTTAGTTTAGACTTTCAAGTTACTAAAAAGGCCTGAACTATTAGTCACACTTGTTTAATATTCCATAAATTTGAAAGATAGTACATTTATTATTAAACTTTTTATTTATTATATTAAAAATCCCAATGCTTACAAGAAATTTTTACATTAATTTTAAATTATTAAAGTAATAAAAATTATTTCATTTATTAAACTAAACTTTTTAAAAAAAAATCATCTGATATTTAAAATTTTTTTCAAATAATACAAACTTTAATTTTCGATGAAAAATTTAGTTACTAATAAACACAACAAGGAATAAAAACTATATTCTCTACTTTTGAGTACTGAACTAAACAAATTTTCAGCTTTAGTAAGGTGTCCACTATACATTATCGAAATTCTTCTCATTTATATTAAGCCGTTCTGGATGAGAGCCAAGCGTCGTCTCGACTGTACGCCGACTTGTTTTAGAATTTCTATAAATTGTGTCTGTTTAAATAGGTAAGTAAATTAATACTGTAACTTTAAATTCCAGTTAACAATAAATTATTTTACAGCTGACGTAAAAAATTAGTTACTATATTAGTTATTAAAAGTTTAAAGTAAATTAACTATTAAAATAACAAAAAAAAAAATTATTAGTGAATTAATATCACATAAAAATTAACTGAAACCCCACTATGTATTATTTATGAATTATGATTAGTTAATTATAATAATATTTTATAAAGAGCGTCATCAAAAATTTTTCACGGGAAACAATATATTTTTTAAATATTTGGTTTTACTGTAGAAATGAATGTTGAAGGAAGAAGAGGTAGAGAAAGACCAAAAAAGAGATGGAGAGATGTTATTAAATGCGATATGAGGACAGCTGATATGAGCGTAGAGGATGCGGGAGATCGTATTAAGTGGAAGTTTAGGATAAGTAGTTGGGATTATGGTGAGGAAGAAAAAGATGAAGATTTGGTTTAACTTTTCACTTAACTGTTTCAGTGATGACTGGGGTCCTTGGTCAGATAACCACGCTTTTTTGGATGCCTCGCCATAAGCGCAACAAGAAGAAGCTAAACCCCCTCAGTAGAAGAAAAGATCAAAGGGGCAATTGACTTCTTTGACAACACTGCGTATGCCCATGTATTTCATATTAATTTAAACACATACATGATTTTACTAAAAACCAATAAATAACAAGAAAAAACTTTATATGATCCCTGCAATACTTTCTAAAACAAGCCACTGGATTTTAGAAGTAATTCTTAAAGCAAGATTCTAATTTTCTGTGGTCATAGCAACAATTATTTATATAACGCTGAAGATAAATTTTCAATAACTCAATATTTACCAAAGGATTTATTTATTTACAAAAACAAAATAGGTAAAACGCAATAGCCTAAAATCTATTTGCTTATAAACAAATGAACTAATTTTTAATGAAAAGAAAAACGCCTACTTGGAATTATAATGTTTACACCTTATTACAACTGCTGATCAGTAAAATTTATTATACTATTAATTAATTGGCACGAATATTTTACGAAGAATTTAAAAAAAATGCAACTCGAAACAACTCTTTTATGACGAAACGTCAATGTTATAATAATAACTATAATGAAAATTAGCCGACCATTTTATTTTTTAATTAAAGTATTACAATAAAGATAAACCATTCACAATACTAACTTTAAAAATTTATAGTATAAAAAAATATTTTATGGTATTCTAGATTTGCCTATGTGAGGCTATGTGTCCTTGTACCACTCTTCATAATACGCTGTTGAAATTGTAAAACATATTCATTACATTACATTAATTGGTCATGAAAATGTTAACCCTAACTTATTTTTAAAACCAAGCAAAGTTTAATACACAAAAATAAACAATAATTGTAAATGTTTAATATTCCCTCAACTAAATTAAACAAAGACGTTCTTTGAGATTTAAAACAATTGTGTATATAATAATAATAATTAGGTTTATAAATTAAGCATACCAAAACCCATGACTAAAATTTAGAATAAATCAAAGAAATTGATTACGTCTAAATTTTAGACGTCCTCGCCTAAGATAAAATCTAGTTTTCTCATGATATTTAATGATGTCTGTAAAAATTTTGATGTGGTGGCGGATGCGTTCGATTGTACAATCCAGTAAACACATTGCGTTCAGGAAAGTTATTTTCATCCTTTCTCTGGTAAAAGGTGTAATTTTTAATATGTTCCGGAAAGCTGTTCACAATTCTATCCATTTCCGAGTTTATTATGCTGGCGTTGGCATTACGTATCGTCAATCCAAGCCCAGTGTCATCAATGGCCAAGAAATGAGCGCCACCATTAAAAAAAGGGTACGTATGAAAATCGGCATAACAAGCAATAGTCACCATGAGTCCAATATTTCGGCTAAAACCATTCCTTACTTCGTCTATCACTATTTTGTCCGATAACACACCGTAGAAATCCATCGCTTTTTTAGGTCCATTGAAAACTGGTATATACACCTTAGCTGCTAGAGTCGGTCCGATGAACTGTATAAATAAAAACATCATACTTAGAAATATGACTAAAAACCATCGACCTAGCTTATCCATTGTTTAAATGGTAAATGATAAATAACAGACAATACAATAACTGGCTGATACAGTTTACACATCATAGGTAATCCGAGTACGCGAGTTTCACTCGTAGTATCCAATTACTTCATAATAATTAGCCTGTAATTAAATCCATAACTGTTTCAATTACTTTTTGATTATCTAAACTTATAATGAATCTCGTGCATTACAAAAACAAATTAAGATATCTAAATGATTAGATCAAAATTTCTCAATTAAAATACAAATGTTTAATGTCTATAAAGAAAATTATTTAAAAAAATTATGATCATTTCTTTTAAATGAATCCATTCTAAAATGTAAAATACATTGACAGTTTTTGAGTCGAGAGCTATACTTTTGAATCGCTTTAAAAAAATTTGATCTTTACATAACTTAATTCCTGTGAAATTTCTGGTGTTGTTATATAAGTGTTAGTAAAACACGTAAGTGAAATATATTTGAAAATCATCTATAGTAGATCATAAAAGTATTACAAAGAATGATTTTAATAATTGTCTGGTGGAAATATTACGTGTAATATTATATTAATTATAGTATTCATTAATACTATGTACTATTAATACTAGTATTAATTATACTTACCAAAGGACGAGAGTCATCTAAATTTTATTATTTCATAAGGCTTTAATTGATAATTATAATAATTTACACTTACACAGTGAATTCGTTCACATTTATTTGTTAGGCAGATTTATTAATTGTACAATCTGTGACTAATGGCATTGTTTTATAGAAAAAAAATGAAAAATATATAAATGAAATTTAACATCGTAAATATTTTTTTTTTAAATAGAAAAAATAAATATTAAAATAAATCTAAGGATAATTAATGGACACAACAACTTATGACATATTTACCTTTAATTGTATAAATAGAATAACATTAGGAGATTTGATTCAAGGAACATACAAGTATTATTTTACCTATTATCAATACACCTTTAATAGATAGCAATTTAATTTATTTTAATCTTATCACATCAGACTTATTCCCAATAACAGGTCGAAAATGAAAATAAAAACAAGTATAATATTTAACAAATTACATCCAAAATTATAAAAATTCAATCTAGAAACTTGATCCCATTAAAATAACAGTAATGTAATTTAAAAAGTAGTCCACACCATACCACATACATAAATATATATATATATATTTATAAAAATTCCAATTAAATTAACCTTAAATACAAACAATAATAACAAAAAAATATTATAATTTTGATCGTAGTTCTGCTATTTTATGTCCCATTAAATTTTGCAAATCGACCAGTTTTAAAGCTAGTCCCATATTTCCCTGAATTTTAATTTTACCTTGAAAGAAAGCTTTTTGGGGATTTAACTTTCCTACTATTAAGTCAACAACATCATCATCCTTCATGGTGAATGTAACATCAGGTTTTTCTGAAAGAATTTTTAATATATTAATATCATTAATTATGTATTATTTTTGTTATTATACTCTATTCATTACCTTTTCCATAAAATGTTACACTGCCTTTTCCATGTTTAGCATTTATAATCCACATTCCTTCTTGTCCACTACTATTTCTAACTTTAAAACAATATATTCCACGAACTTTTTCAATACTATTTTCTTTATCATCAAGCATAGCTTGTTCTAAGAGTTTTAGTGCCTTGTGTACTTTAAAGTTTGATGGATCCTTATCCGTATTAAGTTTATTTGTTTGTTCTGGCTTAGATAATTTTCTAAAATATCAAAAATATAAAATTTACTAACTATAATATTTATTATACAATAATCAACAAGATATATCCCTAATCACTCCATTTTTTATTTTGTTTATCAAAAATATGCTATTAAATTTCAATAGGAAAATTTGATTTTTGTACTTCAAAAATATAATTTTCCATAAGACATCTATAAATATGTTTTTGCTCTCTGGAAAGATATCATAAATTGATATAAATTTTGGAAAATAACCACAGACATTATGCTTATAAACAATAAATAATAGAACCATATATGAAATAAATATTATTACACAAAAACTTTATCAAACATAACAAAAATCTTCTTATTAAAGTTTAAAGAATCGAGTTAGATGGACCATTAGTGGTAGATACAACTATTTGCCTTTAAATAACCCATTTATAGGTATTTGACACTATAATAGTAAAAAATAATTCATACGGAGCTAAATTTGGGAATCCATGGCGATAGACAGCAACTATAACAGCACCACCTAAACCAATATTTTGTTGTAGTCCAAGTTTTGCGCCAGGGACTTGTCTCTTATCAGCTTTCCCTAGAAGTTGCCAATAAAGTTCGCTACACTGTGCAATACCTAAATAAATTTTATACATTTAGAAAATAATATTATAATAAAAATAAAATATTCAATCATGGGTATTGCAAATAATATTTTAAGTAATAATATACACAAATTTTCTCCAAAAAAATACTTAGTGATTTTTATTACCATCTATAATCAGTGATAAACTGTAATTGTTGATAATGGTATTATAAGATAAAATCATGATCAAACAATTATTATACAAAAATTCAATTGAAACTATTATAACTCAGGTACAAAAAGACAGTATAAGTTAAGATATTAATCTCAAAATTAAAATGACTTTGAAGTAATTAATTATCAACAAGAACATTCTATTGTTCTTACAATTTCTATTAAAAACAATTTATAATTTTTTTTATCTAAAAATGGAAGCAAATAGATTGTTGATAAAAAAATTTCATTATAAAATTTATCAATTCATTATGATTTTATAAACACAAAATGGTTATCCAAAAATATTATAGAAATATTCTATATTTTTCACATTATTTAAAAATTATTTTGCCATTTTTAACTCTTTAGCAAGTAAAAATTTGATTTCTAATTCAAAGAAGCTTGAATTAAGGATTAAAAAAAAAATTTTAAATTAATACAACTGTTATGCAGATAATAAGTCATTACCTGTAGCACCTAAAGGATGACCTTTAGATATCAATCCACCACTAGGATTTACTACTACACGTCCTCCATAAGTATTGGCACCTGACTCTACAAATTCTCCTGCTTTGCCAGGTTCACATAGACCTAACGCTTCATATGTAAGTAATTCATTTGCAGAAAAGCAATCATGCAATTCAACTACATCAATATCACTTGGTTTAATTTTAGTTTTATTAAATAATTTACTAGCAGCCAATTTAGTCATATCATATCCTACCTAAAATAGACATGAAATCTTAACTTAAAAGCTTATTATTAACTATATATTTTAAAGTAATTTACAATTTTAACACAGCTTTTGTCTGTAAATGTTGTTGGTGGATCTGTAGTCATTTCCATACCAACAATTTCAATAGCTTGTGCCTGAAGATTATTTTCAATGACAAAACGTTCTGAAGCTAAAATGGCAGCAGCAGAACCATCAGAAGTTGGACAACATTGTAATTTTGTTAATGGTCCAAATACTTGAGGTGACTGCAATATTTCTTGTAAAGAGTATTCTTTTTGGAATTGTGAATATCTAAAAGAATAAAAATATGAAATAAAATTAATACTTAGTAACTGATCATTTAAAAAATTGATTCTAATAGATTTGATATGAAAAATTAAAGACCAGAATATAGAAATTTTAATTTAAAAAAAATATTTATAATGGTTTTCACACAATTAAAATATTAATTTAACATTTTATGTATAATATTATAAATTGAAAGTGATTTAATACATTATTGTTCAATAATCTATAACATTAGAAAGAAATATAGCTATAATATTATGTATAAACAAATTAACACATTTTTACTCATTAAAAATGTAATATTCAATCATTTATTTAATTTTTTGAATAGAAAATTGAAATTATAAAATAAAAACTTACGGATTATTTACAGAATGTTTATGATTTTTATAAGCAATTTTAGCAAGAGTTTCTGGTCTAACATTATATTTTTTCATGTATTCTAAAGCTGCATTTCCAAAAAGTTGAGCAGTTATTGGCGAAGCATCTAATCCTACAATATCACCCATTAAAGAAACATGTTTATCCATTGGATTTGTTCTATCTAAATACTAATTTTTTAAATTTATAAAAATCATAATAAACTTTTACTAGCTTTAAACCATACCTTTGCTGATAATGACCCACGTTCCATCTTTTCGAAACCTAGCGCAAGAACACAATCAGCATTCTGAGATTCAATAATTTGTTTTGCTAAATATAATGCTGTAGACCCAGTTGAGCAATTATTATGGACATTGTAAACAGGAATTCCAGTCATTCCCACTTCATACAATGCTCGTTGACCACATGTTGAATCACCTAGAATAATTTAAAATAAGTTAATATTTGAAGCACTTAAAGCTGAAGGGATATAAATGATAAAAAATTAATTTTGAAATAATTGAATTAAAAGTATGTGAAATGCTATCTTTTCGATATAGTTGATAAAGAGAATTTGGATGAATTAGAAATTTAATAAAATTTTATATATTTATTTAAATTAATAAAAAATAACTTCATAGAGTTTAATAATTAAAAATTTAGGCTTGAATACTTTGAATTGTAGTTTGCCTCCAGCTATAGAATGTGTAGTAGAAATAAAAATTTAAAACTTAAAAGTTATATTTTATAATAACCTCTTTAAATTATGAATAAAAATTTCAACATATTATATAATTATTGTATTACTATTTGTATGCTTATTTAAGCTAATATACATATTATATACAAAATATTAATTTTGATTAAATTTTTTTATTTGGTGTCATTTATTATTATTTTTTATTTAATGATAGAAGGTTTAAATAATCAAAGTTCTACAGCAAGGATAAAATAGGATATAAGTTTCGTTTAGTTTCAAGTTAGCTATATTTATTTGTTGATAAAATGTAAAAAGAGTAATAGAATACTAATAATGAATAAAATTACCATATACATAACCAACACATGCTTGGTCTACTTTTTGTATATTAATGTTAGCATCATTTAATGCTTTAGTAACTGCTTCCACGGCCATTTGAGGATAATCAAAGTCATCTCTACGGCCCGGTTTTTCAAACTAAAATAATTTACAATAATTAACAGATACTAGAAATTCAATATATTTTAATATAAAATAAATTCTTGTTAATATTCATTTAGATAGTATGCAAAAAATGTATGAACCTTATAAATTATGAATATCAAGTATCAAAAGATAACATAAAAAAAAATTTGAATGATAAAATAAGAAAGTATACCCTACATATTATATAACAAGACATAGGATAAGCTACTATAAAACTAATATTAAATGTACTTCTTAAAAATAAAATAAATATCCTATATAATACATAGGACATTTATTGTATTTATTATAAAATCTATTTAATTTTATCTATGATATTTTTATTTCATTAAAAATTTTATTAAGGTTTTATTTTATATATTTTTTAAACAACTGAAAAAAAATAAATTTTTGAAACTTGATACTCCATTTTTAAATAAAAATCAAATGCTAATTTCATTTTTAAATATTAGTAAAATTTTAATTCATTTTATTATTTCATCCTTTACCTTGGTCATTCCAACGCCAACGACATATACTTTAGGTTTCGACATGTTTTTCACAGTTTCTTCTTGAGTAATTAAATAAATACAAAAAATTAATAGCAAAAATGCTATGAAGATAAATAATAATGTGAGTTTAAGATTAATTTTTGAGGCTTCTTTGAGTTTCACTAAAGTGAAAGGATGATTAATGAGGATGTACAAAATCCAGAATGACTGAACTATCGGTTGGCCTTCCAATCAAGTTGTGTTTCTACAGTGGCTACTTACGGTTTAATATTTTACGATTATTAACACATAATGAGCTGATAGGAGGACTTCTGACGTGTACATAAGATAATAAGTATAAACAAGTATAAATTGTGCCCGGCAAAATCAGGTGGCACACGGAAGGAAAAGTTAGGTAAAACATATTTTTTTAGCATTCTGGTCTTTCTTATCAGTTGAATCGCTGACGTCAATAATTTATAGAATCATAACAAATTGACAGCGATTATTATTAATTTTTTTCAAGTTAAAGGCTTTTATTTTAGTATACATTCAAAACCGATCTGAAATTATAAGAATTGAAACTACCGTTAGACATTACTTTAGGACCACGAACATATCCCATGTAAAGGTTGATTATAAAAATGTTTACCTTCATTTAGTGACTTATATAGAAAAAATTACTGTTAAGGTTAAAACTTTGTTAATTATTGGATTATTAAAGAAATTTTCAAAAATAAAAATAAAAAATTTTCAAAATAAAAAATGTTTAATATTTATTTTGATATCTTTCATATCTTTCAAGATGTCAAATTAAATCGTTTGTTTCAAAAAAATCTCAAAAATTGAATTTTGCATGAGATAGGAATGTCTGAATTCAATAGAGTAACCAGGAATTTTGTTTGGCAGGAGGATTTCTTTTTTTGGCTTATTATATAATCTTACCTAGCACTAAAGTTACATATTGTTAGTAGTATTTTTACTAAACTTTTTTTGGAGGCCTAGATCCGCCTATCCACCAACAAACACCTATGCCAAAGGGAGTATATAGAACCTTTAATCCCCTTCTTTACTATACCACTGCCTTAATCACTTAAAAAAATTGTTATTCTTTCATTTATTATTAATGTATTAGGACTGAGTAATCTTAAACCTGGTAATGAGAAATACATTTTTTATCAAAATTAAATCATCATTAAATAATAACAAAAATTAATTTGTATGATGTTTTTATAATTGTTAGAATTAATAATTTCAATAAATTTGGTTCATAAGTACAATTTTTATAGTGATTACATTTTTACTCAATTACTTAGTATGAAAAAATTTAATATTTTAAGCAATAATACACTAGAAATGTTATTTCCAATACACAGAATTCTCATTAAAAACTACGAGACATTAAATTTTTTCAAAATATATCCCTATATCCCCTAAATTTTTTTATAAAAAAAAAAGTTTAAAAGTTACATTTGTGAGGCTCATATATTACATCTGTAATTATTTTCAGTTATGTTTCTTATCAATTATTTTCAAGTAGTTCCTAAAAAAATCTTTTTTTTTTTTAATTGATTAATCTTATTTTTTAATATAAGATGATTTTAAAATATATTTGACTGAAGTGATATATTTTTTATATTGTTCAGTTAGTTTTTTCAGCTGAAACAACAAAGAAATAATTAAAAAAAAATTTATTGGTAGTAAAATTTAAAGTAGTTTATTCTGTAAAAAAGTTTTTTACAAAATTGTTTTTGAGATTCTATTTTTTAACAACATAATAGTAAATGAATCTTCTATAGAAAAATAATTTATTAAATTTTAAAAACTAAATCCTCTAGTAACGACTGACATTCCAGCTTAATAAAAAATGGAATGTGAGCTGAATTATTTATAATTAAAAGCTATATGCATCAAACTAATATTATTCAGTATTTATTTTACTTTATTTGTTCAATTGTAACATTACCGAGAAGTAAAACAAGTGTTCGCAGTATGATCATTAAACAAGGTTTGTAATTTAATATTCAGGCAACAAGTGGTTGGTATAAGTAATTTAACTAGGTAATTTATAAAAAAAGTTAAAGAATGGGGAAATTGTGCATATATTTTCACAATTTTATAACATTTATTAAAAACTATATTATAACTTTAGAAAAAAACACAATCGGAAATTAATTATTAAGTATGATTTTAGATGTTTTATCTAAAACATAACTCTACAACTGTTATAGGATGAATTGATTGATATTAAATAATTTTTTTATTTATTGATGATTTATATTAATAAATATTTACCACTAAGTCAATATCAATAAATTAGAACCAAAGATTAAGGCTTAAAATATAATTAATAAATTAAAGAATTTTAATATTAAAAACAAATTTATTTAAATAATATATTAAATATATAGCTACATACATTAATATGTATTTTTTTTTATATAAAATGTGTGTATGTGTATGTGTGTGAGTAGGTATGTGTTCAAAATAAACCATACGTACACACATATTTATATATATATATAAAACCACAAACAATAATACCTATAATGAATGTCTTAAAATGGTTATTACTGTAGACAAAATAATATAATAATATTAACATCATGATATACGATACAAGATTTCATCCTGTAGAAGATCACTGAAATAATTTAAAGGATTACACAGAGGATAGTTTTTTGTTAACGCTAGAGTACAATTATTCATTCATGTGTTTTAACATTGCATGCACGTTTTATCCTTTTCAACATTGGGATTAACTTCACATGAAAGAATTTTTTGTTGAACTCCAGAATCTGCAGCATTTAAATCCAACCTGAAAAAATCATGATATTTAAAATATATTATTAACTTAAATACTAATTTATAAAAATAAATTTTCTATAATACCAATTACATCTTTAAATGTATTCAAGAAATGTTTAGTGTTCAAGTTTAAAATTCTTTAACATTATAAACAAATTTCTCTTTACATACATTTTTTTTTTTTAATTAGTACATTTTAATGAAATAGATATTTGAAATTTTTATATTAATAATAAATTTTTTTTAGTATTAAAAAAATTAGATTTTCTAAAAAAGGGTAGCATAATAAATACATGTTCCATACAATACTTTTTAGTCATTTAATTTTAGTTCTCCCAAATAATTATATAGCAAAGAATAATTTTTTTCAAAAATATATAGATTTTTATTAATCAGTCTTTTATGGCTCTAGTTATATAATTTGAATTATGAAATAATTATACAATTTAGAAATGTCAAGTCACCGATTTTTTGAAAATGTTTTTTGTTAAATTTTATAATTATACAGTGGTCAGTTTCATAAACTACTCAATTACACAAATTGAAAAATAAAAAGTTTGATTAAATTTAAACAAATAATGAAAAAAATATGAACAGTTACCTTCCATCTTGTATACACTCATAAATTATTTGAGCAGTTTTCAAAAATGCATCTTCTACGTATTCACCACTTAAATAAACAAGGAAATATAAATAAATAAATAATTTTGTAGTAATTCTCTTTACTAAACTTACGTTTTAGCACTAGCTTCCAAAAACATCAAACCATTTTCTTCAGCAAACTGCTTGGCTTCTTCATAAGATACATCACGATTAGCTTCCATATCCAGTTTATTTCCAATTAAATAAATAACCTAAAACATTTATAATTTTTTAAAATAAATTCAGTTACATTTGAATTGATTTTTATTTGAAGGGCAAATTATCAATGTTTTACTTCTAAAAATATCAGTAATGAATTAAATATTAATTTTTACTGTAAAAATAGTGCAGAATTTTTACTAAAAAAATTACCTTTATTATTTATTATTAAAATCAGTACTAACACAACTAAAAAATTATTAAAATAAAATTTTAAAAATAATAATATAATTCACCACCAAAATAATTACACTATAAAAGTGATTATTTGTACAACACAATTAAGACAAATCGGTAAAATAGTTATGTTCAGTAACTATTGATTATTGCTGATAACTAATATTGGTTGATATTGAATTTAGATTTACGTATTGGTCTGGTAATAACTTTTACATTATAACATAGTCATAAATGTTTTCTCATGCAATATCTAAAATAAATTGTAATATAAATTGAGATTTTTTAACTATCCTCATACAAATAATTTAAATACATTTAGTTTCTCAATACATTTCTGTACTATTCTCCCTTAATGTAATATAAATCTCTAATTAAATTTTTATCCCATTCTCTTGGTTAAAATATATTTCCTTCAATAAAAAATGTTAACCAATTCTTTTTATAATATATTTGTTTAAACCAAATTGCATTCAATGCAAAGTGATATATTTATGTTTGATACTAAACATAAAAGTTTAATTTCTTACTGTGCCAGGATTTGTTAAATTACGAGTATCAGACAACCAACTACTAAGATGATTATAAGATGACCGCCTAGTAATATCATACACCATCAATGCTCCTGCTGCTCCACGATAATAGGATCTAATAAAACCATAATAAGTAATTTAAAATAAATGACTTAATGAAATAAACAAACCTAGTGACAGCTCGGAAACGCTCTTGTCCAGCTGTATCCCAAATTTGAAGTTTAATTTTTTTGCCAGATACTTCAATAATTCTAGTACCAAATTCAACTCCAATAGTATGAGGGCAATCAGCAGTGACTGAAACATAAAAATTATGCATGCTATCAATAATATATGTATTATTTGTTCAACAAAATCATTTAAATATTAATACAATTATCTAAGATCTATATCTTTAAACATTTGTGGCATATTATTTGTTTAAATAGTATCATACATTTTTGTTCAGTGAATTGATGCAGTAAACATGATTTACCAACTCCCATGTCACCAACAATAATATATTTGAATATATATGAATACTGGGAGGAAGACATCTTGATTGTAGTTATAATTTATCTGAAAACAAATTAATAATAATAATTAAAATATCATCAAAAATTTGATAAATTTTAAAACATGGAATAATATATATGAATATAAAAATATACAAAATTCTATTAAGTATTATTTTTTTAATTTTCTTATAAACTCATTAAATAAAACATTGTTATAGCAATGTTATAATTAAATGGTTGGATTGTAGGTAATGGTTCAGTTTACTGAAATTTTTTCTATTAATAACAATAATAGTAAAACGATTTTTCTAGTTTAAATATATTTGCAAATAATCTAAAAATGAAATCTGTTTTTTTCTAAAAATACATTACGAGTAGTTATAATATTTTTTAAAAAATGACACTTGCCTGGTTGTTGTATTGATCTTTAAAAAAAAAAAAAAAGGACGAAAAATTATATTTTACCGTAACACAGAATTTTATATGTTTGTAAAAATTTTAATTTTGTTAACTTGTAAAAAACAAAAATGCAGAATAACAATATTTTGATTAAAAACAAAAGTAAAAAACATCAACATTAATTTTTTTTATTATTCTATAGATAAATTTTATCAAATCTCACCAAAAAAACATATCACAAAAACATTTATTGTTTAATAATTTACTAAATAACAGCACATCTGTTAAAGTAGAGTAGAGTCTACTTAAGTAAAAATAGATTTTTTTTTTATAATATTATACTGAAAACGCAAACGGGAAAAATTATAAACTTACCAATTTTATAAAATTAATTATACTACGGCTTTACGTAGCTGTAGCAAACGTTATGAACAGAATTCGAAAAGACAGAACGTCTGATAACTCACAGAATTTACGACGTACACCGGTTGAAATACATACACGATTAAATTTTTCGATTACACAGATTAAATTTTAAATTATATTATAGTTTTAATGACAGAAAATCGTATAAAACATATAATAACGAAAACTGTAATATTAACAACTTATTTATTATGGACACCTGTGCAGCTAACAAAAACTTTTAGAACACTACACTAATCACCACACTTGGTATGATATTGTATTGTTGTTGAATGCTTAACAGTTAACAGTTAATACCTAGTACCAACCATAGATATACAACCGTAACACCTGATAAGGAAATTTAACTTTCCTCCTCTGTCTACCCCACCTAACTATACAAATGTTGCGTACTGTACCCACCCAAAACATATAGTAAAGTAACCGTTTTAAAAAATATTAAATGAGCTTAATAACATGTATAAAAGATAACATATTGAATAATTTATCACGAATTCTAAATATTGAATACATTTTAGCTTCGATGCGAGTCTGAGAAGGTATTAGTTTTACTATGATGTGTTTTTTTTCTTTTTTTTTTGTGTCTCTTACCACTTTTTCTCAGCTATATCTTAAATTAAAGCTAATGTAACATACTTTATCATGGAAAAAAAAATTTTGGACTTTATTTTGTCTTCACGGTGAAAATGACTACCGATTGCTATTTTTGTGTGAAAATTCTCGATTTTATATTTTTAACGTTATAATGCTATAACTTATTGATAAGTGTATGGATCAATACAATTATTTTATGAGAAATAATATTTATATCCCTCTTTCATTCGACATACTTTTTTAGCTTCGATGCGAAGCTGAGAAGGTATTGGTTTTACTATGATGTGTTTTTTTTTTT